ACGGACGGAGAGAGAGAGAGAGAGAGAGAGAGAGAAAGAGAGAGGGAAGTCGAACGAGCCGAGCATAACCCATAGAACAGTCCAATTCAGATCGTGCTTCGCGCTGGGCGTTTTCGGCGCGCACGCTTCATTCGCGCTCGCGCTCGCGCCTTCGACACGTACGGCTTGGCGAAGGACAGTGTCGTCCTCGGGATGATTGATATTGATCTTGCGTCCGCACTGTGGGCATCACGTTGATTCGTCGTAACCGCGGTGGTTACCGTTGTTGCAGTTCCCTGCACCTCTGCTCGCCGTCATTGTGAATGAGTCGCAGTGATTCGTACGCATCGACGCGCGATTTCTCTTCCCGAGGGACGGATACAGGCAAGCATGATCGTCGCAGTGAGAATACAACCCTGGATGTCTTTCACCGAGGATTCATGAGGTTTTAGTTACGGTGAGGACATTTCTTCTTCTCTCTTCTCTCTCTCTCTCTCTCTCTCTCTCTGAGCTTACACGTGCATTATCTCACGGCGCGCCAAGCCGTTCCGTTTGTCAATTGCGATTGTTACTTGCTGGCGAATTGCCGAAATGTCGACATGTCAAACATCGTGCTTTCGATACTGATTTATTTCAAGGCGAGAAAGGCCAAAGTTTTGCGAGATAACAAGTTGCAAGCTGCACGCAGATCGTCCCCCGGAGCCGTCAACATCGACGGCCGATCCTTGATTATTTGTCGCTGGCAAAAATGCGCTTACATCATCGCGCCTGATTGAAATGGTCCCACGACGATCCACGAGGAAAACATCGCGTCACTTTACCTCCATCGGCGAAAGTGTCAGCCTTTTCTTCCCCGGCCGAATCTCATTTTAAAACGTACTTTTATTACGCATACGACAACTTGTTATCTTAAACTTGTCTCAGAGACATTGACCTCCAAAATTAACTTCCGCCACGCATCGATTCGGATTAGCTTGTAGTAATGATGTAATGATCTATATCTACCAGTTTAATTACACACATTCCAAGCTTGCAAATTTTCATGCGATGGCTATATCAATCTTTTCAATAGGCCTGCAATTCTGGAGATAAAAGGCCTTTCGGAATAAATAATAACTAACATTACTGTTTTTCTAAAATAAAGGGCGCGTTAATTCAATTTGCGTGATCCTCTCAAAGACTCTTGGAGAGAGATTTGCGATGAAATGAAATCAGAGCGAAATTACATATTGTCTTGATAATCCGCGCGAGCTATCTTTTACAGTTGAAACAGAGAACACATATCCTCCTCCTCCTCCTTTCGAACCGTTCTATTATCGTTGTCAAAGGGTATTCGCTCTGGCATTTTCATCAGACCAACCAACCCTTTGGATGTGCTTTCTCCACCCCTGAACAATTATTACTGGCATTCATGCAGATATCTCTTCTTCCTTTCTCATCTCTCTTTCATATCTTTCCTCAAAGACAGGACACTGTGGCACTTGATTCTAAAGAATAGTTGCAGTATCGATGATTTTTTTCAAAGCAACCCCTCCGCAGAATTTATCTTTCGCATGCCGATACTTATCTTTTCCAAGCCGGTCTTATATAGTCTATCTTTCTTTTATTTACATTTTCGCCACGCCGTGAATGTTCACTAATTAGGTTAATTAGGCCGATTGACGAACTTGATGAAGATGCGCGTGTTTTTGACACGGTTGTATTATCCTCCCTGCATTCGATGTGCAGAGCTATGCTGTAGGAATTAAGACTAGAAACTCCCATCTATCTTTACGATTAAATTGTCGCTGATATCCCCTATACGTGACTTCAATTTGCCCGTAATAACGGCGGCACTTCCTATGAAAGCGCTAGCGCGTTCTCAAAGCGCATTGAGCGTATCAAGTACTACGCTACTTGGCCGAATTGAATCGGGATAGGCTCGTAACGCATTAATACGGCTTCCTTCCTGAAAGAAAAAAAAAGAAAAAAAAAAGGAAACCAACGACGGTGACGACTTTCTCCTATTACCAATATGTACCACGCACAGAGGACAATCGTGTTTATTGCTAAAAGGCGCCTCACGAAAAGTAGTATTCGCCGAACCACAGGCGCCGTTTGTGTTTTTTCCGTCGTTCTACGATACGCGGCTTTCATATAGAAGACCTCCACCCATCTCCCCTCGTTTGCGTTAACTCGACATCACGACGGCCATTCTTTTCCATACTCGCCAGGCAATACTGTCGTCTCGGTCTCATCGCATTCAACCGCCCCCCGTATTATCCCCATGGCGAACGACGTTATTCGGATCACAACGCTTTCCTTTCTTTTTTCATTTCGCCAAGAATCACTCAATTTTTCCTTTCGCAGAATCTTGCGGAAGCCGGTTGACCTCGCATCGCGCCCGATCGCGCAAGCCGGCTGCCACCGGTATATGTATATCGAGTTACGGGATCGCGTGCGATTACGGAAGCTTGCGCGTATTACAGGATCGAGAGCCCCGTCTATTTTCGTCCGTCTTGCCCGCTTCGTCGATTTTTCTCGGCCTCATACTTCTGCGAAATTTCTACGTGAATATAAACCCGTCGTGCGCGGGTGAGTGAAAAAAAAAATGCGAACGATGGCGATACGTGGCCGTACATTATCGTCCCATCTCTTTCTCGGGATGGAATCAAAACAGAATCGCCGATACGCGATTCACACGTCCCCTTCCGTATATATTTTCGAGAAGCCGGTCGAGAGGACCAGAGAGAACTCTGTTTTTCCAACGCACGATTGCGATGACATAATACCGCCGCCATAAGAGCGCCGAATTACGACGCTGGCGACGCGCGCTCGCGCGCGCGCAAGCGAGCGAACATTGCTCACACGCACGAACACGCACACGCACCCGCGACCTACGCTGCAGCGCGCGCCTCCATGCACACGCCCGTGTGCAGCGACGTATGTATACCGCGTGCGTGCGCAATGCGGGGATACGTGTGCGTGTGTGTGTGTAGCTGAGGCGCGCGTGCGGCCCCGCGGCGACCTTGAGCCTCCCTCTTGGACCCCTCTCCCTCTACCGATCAGAGCGTGCGTTTTACCACCACGCGATAC